CAATCAGAAATTAAAGAGTCATGAGATAAGAAATCAATTATGCCTGCACCAGTATAATTAAAAACCAACTGAATTCCAGGAATCATAGATATCCCAGTAGAGAGATATTTTTAAAAGGTATAAAACCTATAGGAGTAAAAACTTGAGAGGAGACAACAATAACAAAATGTCAACAGCTGAAAAGTAGCAGAGCTGAATCTTAAATTGGCAGTGGAGAAAGCCAAGGCTAATCCAGTTTATACCACAGAATTCCCAAAAGACCCTGGGGGCATTACTGGAAGTAGGTAACAATGGCAGGGCTAAAATAAAAGAGGATCTGTTTAACTTCTTTTAAGAAATAGCTAGATTCCCCAGACCAGGCATCTACTCTGAAAAGCTGTGTGACTACACCTCTCCCATCCTGGCAAAAGATACGTATCCCAAGTTACACTCTCTGGAAAGTATAAAATATAAGTCTCCGGGTGAGAGACTCAGCACAACTTGTGGGGGAGGGGGAACTATAATGAACACGGGGATTGGGTAAACACACACACACTGAGATAGTCACCCCAACCCTTTGCCACCACATGGTTTCCAGAAAGATGGCAGCAACGCCCAGACCCTCCCGGCAGGTGACTGGAAGCTCTCTGGGCGATTTGAACAGCCAAAGAGAAACCGACACTGGTGGTCCCACAAGGAAAGAGCCATGAACAGCACCTCAAGTAAAGCCAGTGCCAACAAGCCCCATCAATGTGTATCAGGCTCAAATTAACTTTGCCCTCCCTCCCCACTCTTGAATATAACAGACAAAGAAGGATGACTTGACATTGGAGGAAAGATTCTAAAATGAAAGATAAGAGTCCAAAACAAACAACAGGAATACAATCAGTAGAATTCAAATTGTTGGAAACTCTATATGACAAATGGCCTGGTTTCTTCAACAAATAAAATGCATGGAAAAAAGGAGAGAGAAAAGGGGGAAACTATAGATTGAAAGAGACTTAAAACACATATCAACCAATTGTGCTATATGGACCGGACCCTATTTGAGTATTGATTTGAACAATCCAAGTGGTTTCTTAAAAGTGAGATAACCAGAGCAATTTAAATATTGGTTGGATGTTTGGTGATACTAAGAAACTGTTGTTAATTTTTTAGATATGACATATTATAGTTGTTTTAACAGTCCTTATATTTTAGAGAAAAATGTTGAAATATTTATGGATGAAATTATATGATAGCTGAGATTTGCTTCAAGACTGTCTGGGTAAGGGGACTGACTAAACAAGCGTGGCTATGGGATGAAGAAAACATGAAAATCTTTTATAATATTATCTTTACTGTATGTTTGAAATTTTCAATAACAAAGAAAACTATGGCCCTAACCGGTTTGGCTCAGTGGATAGAGCAGGGGTGGGCAAACTTTTTGACTGGAGGGCCACAGTGGGTTCTTAAACTGGACCGGAGGGCCGGAACAAAAGCATGGATGGAGTGTTTGTGTGAACTAATATAAATTCAAAGTAAACATCATTACATAAAAGGGTACAGTCTTTTTTTTTTTTTTTTTAGTTTTATTCATTTCAAACGGGCCGGATCCGGCCCGCGGGCCGTAGTTTGCCCACGGCTGGGATAGAGCATCGGCCTGCGGACTGAAAGGTCCCAGGTTCGATTCCGGTCAAGGGCATGTACCTTGGTTGAGGGCATATCCCCAGTGGGGAGTGTGCAGGAGCCAGCTGATCTGTGTTTCTCTCTCATCGATGTTTCTAACTCTCTATCTCTCTCCCTTCCTCTCTGTAAAAAGTCAATAAAATATATTTTTTAAAAAAAGAAAACTATCATTAGAATCCTCAGAGAAGACAAAATCATAAAACAGAAAAAAATAATATAAAAAGAAACATTCAAAGAATTTTTAAAAGATCCTGTAAATAAATAAAAGAAATAAAACATTTAGTAAAGAGTTAAAGAAAAAAAATTGAGGACATATCCCAGAAAGTACAGTGAAAAATTATAGAAATGAAAGTAAAGAAAAGAATAAAAATTAGAGGAATAGTTCTCTAATGTTTAAAATCTTGGTAACAGTTCCAGAAAGAGTGAAAAGAGAAAGAGGAAGAAGGAATTCATCAACACAATAATGAAGGAAAATGTCCCAAAAACTGAAGACCACGAATTTCTAAAAGAAAAGAATGGATTCCAGCCAGGTGTGTCTTAGTGGGGTTGAGTGTGGACTCAACCAGGAGGTCATGGTTCAATTCTTAGTCAGGGAACATGCCCGAGTTGCGTGCTTGATCCTCAGTGGGGAACGTGTGGGAGGCAGCCAATCGATGATTCTTGGTCATCATTGATGTTTCTATCTCTCTCTGCCTCTCCCTTCCTCTCTGCAATCAATACAAAATCCAAAAGGGTAATATGCAAAGTGACCCTAACATCAGAACCACTGAGAATGACTGGTCACTATGACACACACTAACCACCAGGGGGCAGACGCTCAATTCAGGAGCTGCCCCCTGGTGGTCAGTGTGCTCCCACAGGGAGAGCTCTGCTCAGCCACAAGCCAGGCTGCCAGCTGCCAGCACAGAGGTGGTGGCGGGAGCCTCTCCTGCCTCCTCAGCAGCGCTAAGGATGTCCAACTGCAACTTAGGCCTGCTCCCTGCTGGCAAGTGGACAATCCCCGAGGGCTCCAGGGCTGCCAGAGGGATGTCTGACTGCCAGCTTAGGCCCGATTCCCCGGGGGAGCGGGCCTAAGCCAGCAGGTGGACATCCCCCAAGGGGTCCCAGACTGCAAGAGGGCACAGGCTGGGCTGAGGGACACCCCCCCACGCCCCGCCCCAGTACACAAATTTTTGTGCACCGGGCCTCTAGTATATATTTAAGTATAAAAGAAAAGAAAAGAATGTGGCAATTTCCTAACTCAGTGGATGAAACAGGCTTACATAAAGACACATCGTTGGAAACTGCAAAACATTGGGAGCAGAGATTTGACAAGTTTTCAGAAAAAGAAAAACAAAAACTCTGGCTATATTTGAAATATCAGGAATCAGAAGCATATAGGACTTCACAACACAAAAAACTAGAAAGCAATGAAGTAATACTTTCAAAATTCAGAAGGAAAATTATTGCCAATCTATAATTTCTATATCCAACAAAACCACCAATTAAAGGTGAAGGCAGAATAAAAACATTTTTCAGACATGAAGACCTCAAACATTTTATTTCTATTCATCCTTTCTCAATGACAAAGGCAAGGAAGTAAATACAGAAAGAGGAAGAAATGAAATACAGGAAACAAGGGGTCTAGCAGAGGAGAGAGGTGAAGGGAATTCCCAGAATAGTGACAAATAAAGATTTCAAAATAAAAGTTACTATCTATGACTCAGTTTCCTTGTCTGTGGAACAGGGAGCTAACAATAGTACCCGTCTCAGACTTGTAAGGATTCAGAATAAAACACTTAGAGTAGAACCTTGGCACAAAGTAAGAGCTACAGGGTATTATCATTAACAAAGAGTTAACTCTATATTAACATATAACTATTTAACATATTACAATAGCTTAAAAAAAGAAATAAATCAATGTAAAACACATTTCTGAACTGAACATACTTCCAGCTTTGGAATGACTAAAAATAGTCGCAGAACCACAGGGTTTAGGAGGTTGGCAGGGTTCTGAGATTTTCCTAGTGTAATTTTCTTGTTTTAAAGGGTCGGAAATTGAAGTTCAGAGTAGCTAACCTGCTTCAGACTACATAGGCATTTAGAAGAGGAGCTGGACTGGCAGTCAGCTGTTTCATGTCATCGTACTAAAAATCAGAAGCGCAGCTAGCCTCAGAGGGTCACACATACAAACAAAATCACAACAGAAATAGTTTGTCCAATTCAGTGATTGTGTCCTACAACAAGGCACTGCGCTCAAATATACATAAACAGAAAGGCCACATAGAGCTATTCAGGGCAAAAAAGAGAGGAAGCTACTAGTTAGGTTGACATTAAGGAAGAAAAAGTATTGAATTCATTGCCCAGGAAGGACACCTCAGGTGATTTTACACACAAAAGTGAGAATATTAATCCCTAATGTTCTGGGCCAATATGAGGCAGCATGGATGGGCATTGCTGATCCATGAGTATAAGGATGGGAAGCAGTGCATATCCATCACAGTTTTCTAAATCTTTCTAAAGGAATACCCACCATTTTTAGAAATAGTAGTCTTTTTGGTCATTGCTACCAAAGTAATGATGCTCTCATCAGAATGATCTGGCAATAAGACTACTGAGCAAGGCCAATGAAGAGAGTGAGTAGTGAGGGGAGAAAAGGCAAGATCCTGGGAGAAGAAAATTTCTTTCCCTGTCTTATCAGGCAAAGCACCACTGAGACTCCTTTGAGGTTTGAGAGGGTGAGAATTTTCCTGGTAGAAATTCTATGGTATGTCTTCATCTTCCAACTGAAAATAAGCCCTCTGTGCATTGGCACAAAGTTCCACTTATCAGCTTGAGATGAACTTATTTTAAAAGAAAATTGCCCATTTACTTTTCACTGAACTGCAGAAGAAAAGTACATGCTAATTTCTCTTCTTTAAAACACTATAAACTTCTATACTTCTTGAGTATTTATTCAAACAATGTCTAATTACTTTTGGATACAGTAAATGTTCCAAAGCAATCCAAATACTACAGTGGTGACCAGTTGGATTAAACACCTCTTAATATTTTGACCATTTAACAGATTTAAAGTGACAGGCAAAAAGTTCAAAAATACAAAAAATGCTTTTAATCCTTTTTATAAATGCCTATTTTGGTATTTGTAATTAATAAGATTTTTCTCCTTTCACTTTCTTATAAACATTGGGTGCAGCCTGGAAAATCATTCAAATAAAAATACAAAAGCATGTACTGGTAACTTAGCAAAGTTAGTAAAAACATAAAAAGAAATAAAAACGACGTTAAAATATTTCCTATAAATTCTGTACTTGAACAGAAAGATACAGAAAACACAGTTTAAAACTGAAAAATGCCACAATGTCAACACTCACAGAAAAAGTAGGATTCCGGTGTTTGCCAGGGCGAAGGCGAGTCCCAAAATCCCACTGCCCATAATGGCGTTGCTCAGGTTAAACACAGACATGCCTAACGAGGTGGTTCCTGGAATCTGAACAAAGAGACAAACATTCACACTAAGCAGGACAGTCCCCAAACCTGTTCATCACACCAAAGCCTTTAGAGCACTATTAGAAACCAACACAAATTAAATTCAAGAAAACCTTCTTTGGGGGACACCGACAGTAGGGCAGCAGGTCGCAGGCGGGGCCATGGGAAAAGACTATTACCAGACGCTGGGCCCGGCCCGCGGGGGGTGGGACAGGAGGTCAGCGGGCTGGCGCTGCGCTGCCACCCGGACAAGAGCCAGGAGCCCGGACGGACCGGACGAGGAGAAGTGCAAGGAGGTCGCCGAGGCCTCCGACCTGCTCAGCGACCCGCACAAGCGGAGATCGACCGCTGCGGAGGGGAGGCCTCAGGGCGGTGGCCCCAGTGGTGGAAGCGGCGCGGTGCTAACGCACCTCCTTTAGCTACACATTCCATGGGGACCCTCAGGCCGTTTGCTGAGTTCTTCGGTGTCCGAAATCCCTTTGCCACCTTTTTTGGACAGCGGAACGGGGAAGAAGGCGTGGGCATTGAGGACCCGTCCTCTGGCTTCCCCATGGGCATGGGTGGCTTCACCAACATGAGCTTTGTCCGCTCCCGCCCTGCCCAAGAGCCCACCCAAAGGAAGCAAGACCTCCCTGTCACCCATGACCTTAGGGTCTCCCTTGAAGAGACCTGCAGCGGCTGTACCAAGAAGATGAAGATCTCCCGTAAAAGGCTGAACCCCAATGGGAAGAGCATTCGCCACGAAGACAAAATCTTGACCATTGGAGTGAAATGGGGGTGGAAAGAAGGGACCAAAAAAAATCACCTTCCCCAAGGAGGGAGACCAGGCCTCTAACAACATTCCAGCTGACATCGTCTTGGTTTTAAAGGACAAGCCACACAATATCTTTAAGAGAGATGGCTCTGCTGTCATTGACCCAGCCAGGGTCACCCTTCCGGAGCTCTGTGTGGCTGTTCTGTGAATGTCCCCACTCTGGGCGGCAGGACCATACCCATCGTGTTCAAAGATGTCATCAGGCCTGGCATGCAGTGAAAAGTTCCTGGAGGCCTCCCTCTCCCCAAAACACCCGAGAAACGTGGGGACCTCATTATTGAGTTTGAAGTGATCTTCCCCAAAAGGATTCCCCAGATGTCAAGAACCATACGTGAGCAGGTTCTTCCAAAATAGCCACCTGTGTTCCCCAAGGACAGACCAGGGACCTTTCCAGAGATCAAGGATTTCTGGACTGTTCCACCAGTTGTGGACCCGTGAGAGGGCAGCAGGGCCCAGGGAGGGCTTTAGTACTGCTGAATGTTTTACAGAGAATATATTACAATCTTTCAAAGAAAAGAAAAAAAATGAAAACCTTCCTTAGTGGTTGATTTTTAATGGGTTTCCAGAGAAAATACATAGAATCTGAGGAACATCCTGGTGAATACAGATAGCTATGCCTTTGGTACTATGCTGCATGAATTAAAAAGATCTGTCCACTGTTATATATGATAGTACAGTGATGGCGAACCTATGACACGCGTGTCAGAGGTGACACGCGAACTCATTAAAAAAAAAAAGATCTGTCCCAAATTATGTGATTAAAAAATAAGCATACTTATTATAATAACACTTACGTATTCGTCACATTTCTTTTTTTCCAAGTGGCTGTTTGTGAGACTTCTTCTACTTTCGCGATCAGAAATAAACTTGCTGTAAAGACATGTATAATACATTTAACCTCATGGTAGTGATTTGAAGCTTAACATTACACCTAAGTGATTGATTACTTACCAAAACATATTACACATGAAAAGTTATCAATCTAATTCAAATCATTTCAATACGAACACAGTAAAACACTGTATGCAATGTTAAGTTAACTTTTACGTAGATTTTTCTCTAACTACAAATCAGATAATGTCAAAAATACTCTAACGCTGTCATGTAAAAGAACAGCAGAGGCAGGATTCCTTCTGAGCTCCCATTCCTGGGGTACAAAGTTATTAAATAGGAATTCCCTCTCCCCTGAAAAAAAGGAAACAGCTCTTTCTCCATCAAATATTGCTTCAGCACCTGCCATATGCAAGTCATCAGACAAGGTGATGAGAGAGACATGAGGGTATGTAATACGAGACGCAGACACTGAGCTATAGGAGTTCAGCAGAGGAAGCTATGGTGGTGGGGGCAGGGCATTAGTCCATGGTTAGGGGCAGAACTAGGGCTTTAAGAAAGGGAGGGATTTAGAAGGTGAGTTTGAATCCTCACTAGCCACAAGGCCCTAGGCTACCTCAGTTTCCTCTGTGAAATGAGAGTAACACTATTACATTATCTCATGGCGCTCTTGGGAGAATGAAATCATCTCTACAGCTCCAGGCACAGAGTAGGAGCAACAGCGGGGTGGAGGGCGAGGGGAGGGGCGGGAGGCGTGGGACGAGCTGGGATGAGAAAGATTCAGGCAGGCTAAGTGGAGTAAACTGTCTGCAAATACATAGAAGAAGGAATTCAGAATGCTCTCAGAACCATATTCAGTCAGCATTAACATCAGAACTTTATGGCCTAAATCTTTAATTTTTAAAAAATTCACCATTAAGCCCTAGCTGGCTTGGCTCAGTGGATAGAGCGTTGGCCTGCGGACTGAAAGGTCCCAGGTTGAATTCCCAGTCAAGGGCACATGCCTGGGCTGTGGGCTCAATCCCCAGTGTGGGGTGTGCAGGAGGCAGCCGATCAATGATCCTCTTTCATCATTGATGTTTCTATCTCTCTCTCTCTCCCTCTCCCTTCCTCTTTGAAATCAATAAAAATATTTTTTTTAAATCACCATTAAAAAAATAAGTGGTATTGTCAAAGTCCATTTGTTGGCTGCTTGTATTAGTAAAACATGTTAGGTATGCTGTTTCCTCTTCCAGAAAGTTAATTATTTGGTCTTAGTATGTACTAATCACAATAAGTGTTTCACTAATGAATGTAAAGCCACTTGAGCTGAACCATTTTATGCCCTAACCGGTTTGGCTCAGCGGATAGAGCATCGGTCTGCGAACTGAAAGGTCCCAGGTTCGATTCCAGTCAAGGGCATGTACCTTGGTTTCAGGCACATCCCCAGTGGGAGGTGTGCAGGAGGCAGCTGATCAATGTTTCTCTCTCATCAATGTTTCTAACTCTATCCCTCTACCTTCCTCTCTGTAAAAAATCAATAAGATATATTAAAAAAAAAAAGAGCTGAACTATTTTAAAGCAGCATTTATCTTTAAACTGTACATTATATTTTCACATGCTTTTTTGAATAATACTGTTTCATAAGAAACCATTTTCAATGAAACCATCATCAATATTGGCTTTATTTAACTATCTTTTTCATCTTTAATCCACGGGGGTCTGGCTTCTCCCTGGCATCACCTCTCCAAGTTTGCATTATTTTGCCAAAATAAGCCAAAAACAGGCAGTATACCAACTTCCTGAGATCATCACCTGGTAGAAGCAGCACGATCTGTGGTTTACTCCCTTCAGCATCTGCCTTTGCCTAGGACCTGGCCAGTTACTGCGAGAGACCAAAAGGAAGATGAAGAAAACCTTGGTCTCTGAACAGGAGAGACCACACTGGCTCACACCAGAAGGGGAATGCCAGGCTGCGCAAAACTGAGATGAGATAAGGCATCCAGAGAAGGGAAACCATGATTGGAAGGGATTAGCCAGAAGACACTTAAGGCCGGAGGCCTGATAAGTAGGATCACAGGAGAAGGACAATATTTTGGAGACCAATCTGACAGTTATAGAGTGTTTGGCCCTTTTCTTGCCCTTAATATTTTTGAGCTTCCCACAGAATTGAGGGCCACAGGCCTGGCTAGAGAGAGGCAAGGAAAAGCAGCCTTCCTTTTCACACAGGCAGCCCAAGGAAATGCAGGTGCTGCACTTACCAAAATGAAATAGATTTCCAAAATAAAAATACACTTGGGCCCTGGCCGGTTTTGCTCAGTCATTAGAACGTCAGCCCTCGGGCCGAAGGGTTGTGGGTTCGATTCCCAGTCAAGGGCATGTGCCTCAGACCCGGTGGGGGCGCATACAGGAGGCACTAATCGATATTTCTCACTCTCTCCCTCTCCTCCCTCCCTTCCACTCTCTCTTGAAATCAATGGAAAAAATATACTTGGGTGAGGACTTATATATATAAAAAAAAAAAAGCCATTAAATAAAAGACTGTATTTAATCAGGTTAATTTTAATAATCAACTCAAGTCAATCTAATATTTATCCAGAAGCTCCCCCATTTGCCTTTCTTGTGGAGGGATTTCTTTTCTGAAGAGAATTTCCATTATTTTAAATTAATGGAAAAGCCTAAACATTTTCAAGCAAACTGAACAAAACATAGCAAATCACCTGTAGCAGATTTAAGCCCCCTGGCCTGGCCCCATTCCCCAGAATTGGTGGCAGAAGACTGGTGGGCCGGGAAGAAAGAGGTATCATCATTGTAACACTAAAGGCATTCAGTAGGGTCAAACACTGTGAAAGGGGAGGAAGAGGAAAGAATCAAACTGAGTATGGTGGCGTGTTAAGACATGGGTCTTTATAAAGTAGCATAGTGCATGGAGTTGGAATAAAATAGAAAGGGAGAAAAAAAAGATAAAGAAAAGAAGGGGGAGGAAGAATAAGGCCCCTACATGATTGCCGGCTCTTCCCTGCAGAACTTCTGCAGGATGGGGATGATGAAACTGACTCACAGGGCTGTTGAAATGAAATGAGTAACTATCAAAAATCACATTAAAATATATTGTATCTCAAGAGCCTCCCTGATTCTGCCTCTTCTGGTGCACTTTCTGCAGCAAGACCTAATAGGTTTTCCCAAAAATCTTCACTGGCTCCCCCACTGAGACACTTTCTTTTTTTTTTTTTATAATATATTTTTATTGATTTTTCACAGAGAGGAAGGGAGAGGGATAGAGAGTTAGAAACATTGATGAGAGAGAAACATCGATCAGCTGCCTTCTGCACACCTCCTACTGGGGATGTGCCTGTAACCAAGGTACATGCCCTTGACCGGAATCGAACCTGGGACCTTTCAGTCCGCAGGCTGACGCTCTATCCACTGAGCCAAACCGGTTAGGGCCACTGAGACACTTTCAAGTGTAAATCCCTCATTCTGCAATTCCTGATGCTGCTGAATTTGACTTTGCCTCAATGTCCCATTCTCAGCTCCCACTACTCAAAATGGTCTTCCCAAGAGGGGGTGAGGACTGAGACAGGATCATAGCATTCCTAGAGACGGAAAAACACGGCAGCAGTGAGAATCCACCTCCACTGGGGAGAGACCCTGTGTCCTCTTCTCAGCCAGCACCTTCCTGCCAGTTCGAAGCTTCACCCGTGAGCCTTCTGATACTCTGGTTTGAGCTGAATTTCCTGACTCTGACCTACTTACTACTTTTTCTGTGGCACATACTGTGCTACTGAACTCATCTCACATCCAGAGCTGCTGTACAGTGCTCTCAGCCCCTCAGCTCCTTCTTAAATGTGCCTGCCCATGCATTAGCAACTCAGAGGAACCTTTCGTAAACCGAATATGCATCTTCTGTTTAGGAATTAGGGAGTAGCTTAGGCTGCAGGGAAGTCAGGCTCAGTAAGAATGAAACAGTAAGAATGAATAAAGAAATCCTCTTTATTCTCTTTATGATATCTCCACTTTTTCTTCTCTTCAGTCTTTAAATCTCTGCTTTGTATTTCTGAAAACTTGTTTTAAACAAAATAAAACCAACCTTTTTAGTAATGGAAAAGTCCATTCAAAATAAGTAGGTCAAGCGGCTTATCACAAGTTTCTGCTATCTTACCATTTAAAAACATGCAATTGTGTGATAAAAACCACGACTTCTGGCAAAGAAACTGAGTTAAACTTCTCTTTATTTACTTAAAAATGGGCTATGGGAGAAGGTGCCTTTGACATGTGGTCTCAGGATGATAAAAGTATTATAAAAAGAGAGTTTTCACTGGGTTGGTCTGTACCCATAAAGAAGAATTCAATCAACTATTAGGTAGCAAATTGTTCTGAGAACAAAACCAAACAAAAACTTACAGTGGCTGTCATGGTGACCTTCAGTAGACAAAGCCTTCAAAAGGAGTAGGTGTGAAGGGAGGCTGAGCAATATAGAGCAGTTATTTAAAACCAAAAATAAACCAACATCAACAACAATCGAACAGGATGGGCTGTGCAATAGGAAGATATTCTTCCTAGTTTAATCTCTACCAATCAGATTCTTACTAGATTATAGTGTTCTATTTGAGGTTTCGTAACACAGAAAAGATCAATGGTTGTACTTAGATGACCTTTCCCAGTTCTTTCCCTGAAATTCTAACATTCTATAAAAAAGGAAAAGAGAACAGGAGGAAAGAAGCAAGTAACAAAGAGGCTGGAGGACATGTAAGATTTAAAGAAACAGCAGGCATTTAAAGAGAAGACTGAGAGGTAAGCAAAGCCTTTCTGGTTGAATAAACTCTACTGAAAATAGGAGAAATCTAGGTTGTAACAGGAGTTGTTAAAGCAAGGAAAGAATTTTCTGACATAAGAACTGATCATCAGAAGAAGAGATGGAATATTCCTTAACTTTTCAAGGATTCTCCCAAATGATATAAATTTAGTACATGAACTCTGAAGGATATACAGGGACGACAAAAAAAAAAAAAAAAAAAGGCTGATGTAGGGGGTAGTGACAAGAATTGCCCCAAATCCTTTTAAGAACAATTTTAACAAGGGACTCTCAAACTTTGTTAGATGCTGCCTGGGTCACAACAACAATAACCATGCAGAGAGATGAGAATAGTAAATAAATATGAAAATATGTGAATATTTGCTTAGATACAGTTAGGATAATCTATTAATATTCTAACAGCTTTAAAGCAGCAACAGTCAGCATTCATCCAGAACCTAAAACAATATTATTATTCCTTGATGTAGACAAGAAAGAAATGCTTGCCAAAGAAAGAGGATGCACTTTTATTGATAAAGACACATCTCACACTAAAAGGCTTACTGTTGCCAGACACTTGCCAAGTACCTTACATGGGTCTTCTCATCTATTTTCACAATAATTGTATTGATCAGTACTATTATTAGCTCCATTTTAGATAAATTAAGTAACTTGACCAAAGTAACATTACTAATAACAAAACCATTGAGCCAGGATTTGAACCTAAACTGGCTGATGGCAGAGCCTGAGTTCTTAACCTACAAGCAGGAATACATTTACTATTCCCCGACACGCCCAGGAAGTAAGGTATTTTTACTATCCCGGTTCTTACAGGGATGGACCTGAAGCTCAAAGGACAAGACCTATCGATAGAGCCAGGATTCAATACAAGTCCAAATTCAAACCACTTAACTACTGGCTCTCTCTTCTGTGTCTGCCTCTGTTTTTCTCTCTCATTTAACAAGTATTTTGTAATTTCCACTCTGTATCAGGCACTTTTATCTATCGTTTCAAGGTGCAAGAGACATAGAGGTGATTGAGATGATTCCTCCTGGCAGGAAGCTCACTTCTAGGGGAAGAGTCTAGAACAGGGGTGGGCAAACTTTTTGACTGGAGGGCCACAATGGGTTCTTAAACTGGACCGGAGGGCCGGAACAAAAGCATGGATGGAGTGTTTGTGTGAACTAATATAAATTCAAAGTAAACATCATTACATAAAAGGGTACGGTCTTTTTTTTCAATAGTTTTATTCATTTCAAATGGGCCAGATCCGGCCCATGGGCCATAGTTTGCCCACGGCTGGTCTAGAGCTTGCTACTCAAAGTGTGGTCCAGGGACCAGCAGTAAGGGTATTTATTACCTGGAAGCTTGCTAGAAATTAGAACCTCAGGCCCCTTCCTGATCTACTGAATCAGAATCTGCATTTTAGCAAGGTTTCCAGATATTTCCTATGCACATTAACATGTTAGCAAACTCCCACTACTCCACCACCACCACCCCAACCACACCACAAACAAACAAAAAATGTTAGCAGAACTGGTCTAGTGGGCATTTTGAAAGGTTTTGCTGTTCTAGGTATAGATTTCTAGGACTATAACCCAAAAATTATGAAATAAAACAACTGAACTGGAATAGGGGCAGTTGTTCTAATGCCCAAATGACTCTACTCTATTTTTGCCTAAACTTTAAAACATTATTCTAAGAATAGGGGAGTTTCCAGGCAAAGCTGTAAGCTAGATGCCAGGTGATCAAAGATCAATATTTGTTTTCAACATTTTTCTCTAGTTTCCTAAAAAAGAGGAACTGTTACATAGAAGTTCCCTGTTTCGGGGGCTCGTTCCCTTCGACGCATATAATTGAGCCTACCTTCCTCCCATCAATATGAAAAAGCTATAAGAAGAATGAAAGGTATTGCCCAGCTGGTGTGCTCAGAAATTGAGCATCAACTTATGAACTAGAAGGTCATGGTTCGATTCCCGGTCAGGACACATGCCCGGGTTTCGGGCTCAATCCCCAGTGTGGGGCGTGCAGGAGGCAATCAATGATTCTCCCTCATCATTGATGTTTCTGTCTTCCTCTCCCTCGAACTCTCCCCTCCTCTCTGAAATCAATAAACATATATTAAAAAAAACAAAAATGAGAGGTATTTAGGTATAGCTTTGGCAGCAATCATGGTGGAGATCCTGATTTTTATTTATCTTTTTGGCTTCTTGGCATATGTTGTTTTTAATTTTATTTGTCCTAAAGCCAAACTAAAGAAAGGCTCATGAACTGTGTCAGTGAAAGAGGGGAGATAAGATAAATGAAGAAATAAATGTATCACACCGCATGTGCAGTAAAGGAACCAAATTCTGCAAAAAAGTGGTCAACACCAACAGCAAACCTGCTGTACCAGCTCACTGCCTTTGTCACAGTCTCAGAAGATGTGAGTTCACTGGGCAAGGTGCCCAAGTCAGGGGTGAAAATGGTCATCACTCAAAAACTGAATATTGTTAGTAAATAAAACTCTTTAAGATCAAGTCCAGACTCTAAACTGAGTATTAGAATGATTCCCATTTTAAGGTCTTCAAGGTTTGCCTTGCTTTGGAATTGAAGCTGTGTTATAAAACCAAAGTGTCCTACTTGTGAAATGGTTGGGATCCCATGTACCATTAAGAGGAGGTCAGCAGTGACTGCAGAACAGTCCAGGAGTACAGAGCATAAATTAGAGTTTAACTGAACAAGCTAATGCCTGAGCATTATAAGCAGAGGCAGGCAGAGAGAGTAAAAAGACTAGGATTTCAGATGAACCTGTGTATGCCCTTAAGCAAGTTATTTTATTTCTCTGGGCTTCAATTTCCTTACTTGTACACAAAAATTTAAAAATTTCCTTATTTGCAAAATAATGCTTTGCATGATGCTTTTATAAGGATAAATGGCAATACATGTAAACACAGCTGGCAGTCAAGAAATGTTCATTATGCCCTGGCTGGTTTGGCTCGGTGGACAGAGCATCGGCCTGAGGACCAAAGGGTCCCAGGTTGGATTCCGGTCAAGGGCACATGCCCGGGTTGTGGGCTCGATCCCCAGTAGGGGGCATGCAGGAAGCAGCCGATCAATGATTCTCTCTCATCATTGATGTTTCTATCTCTCTCTCCCTCTCCCTTCCTCTCTGAAATCAATAAAAATATATTTAAAAGAAAAAGAAATGTTCATTATTATTAATAACTTGACTTAGAAAAGGTAAAAGAAGTAAACTTGAGTCCAACAATCAGAAATATCACAATACAGTAAATGATACTTGGGATTCTAATGAGGAAGTGTCTGGATGGAGACCTAACCACTAAGAACATTTAAGGAAGAGAAAAAGAAGAAGAGGCAGGGCTGAAACTTCTGAGTATGTATGTGTGAATGATAGCAGCTACCTATACTGGACTTCCACTTCTTTATGTACACACTACATCCGAATATAGAGCAAACTATTGGACATTATTCCCAATATGATGCCTGGCTAGGTGATGTATGCTGTCATCTCCCTCTACCCCAATTTCCTTCTGACAACCCCTCCACCCCAAGAAAAAAAGTGTAGCATCGTTGCTGTTCTAATAAGGAGACCCATACACTCCCCTCACTTCTCGTAGCCTTTTTAGAGGCATCATGCTTCAAACAAGCCACACCACTAGCTCCCAAGCTGGAGACCTTCCTGCTACAGGATCCATTCGGCCGGACTAAAACTCAGGAGGTCAGAGAATGCCCACATCATTAAAAACATAAAGACATTTGGCCCTACTCCTGGAAATTAAGAAACTCAGAACCCAAGAGTTGGACAGACATGCTGAGGTCAAAAGCTTCTAGGCCAGCACTCTTCCCACCTGCATCTCTATCTCCCCTCACTCATGGCATCTTTTCTTTTCCTTCTGCTACATGTACTATTTCTCTACTACAGTTTCTCATAGAGCCATCTGGGCTCAACTATAGTTTTTATTATTTAAAATCCATGTTGCAAATGATGCTTGTAATAGTGCATTTGTAGTTTTAACACAGGAACAGTGGCAAATGGGACTTTGACCATTTCTTGGTTAAAAATGTGGGCGAGGTCAGATGACTATAGGACACAGTCAGATGTGGGTTGCAGTGAAAGGCCAATAGTCTGTCTAATTCTAAGCACAGAGCTTCTGAAAAGTTAGGGCTGGTTGGGGGCCAATGTATTATACACTTTTATTAGACTCAATTGAAAGATTGGAAAGGATGAATAAATTGCTTTCCTATTTGATTCATCTGCTACTGCAGACTATGCCCAACAGATGTCAAATAAGAAATTCAAATTACATCTTCAAATGGAGCATAACTTTAGTAATGAATAATTCAAGAGAATAACTGAAAATCAGAATATTTTAGAGACAACTCTTTTACTGGATAGAAAGTGTTAGGAAAATTCTCACCTATTTATTTGACCATTTTCTACTTCAGTGAAGTCATTGGAATCATTGCTGATGTTGTCATCTTCGGGCACTGTCATGTTCTGCAACTCGGTTAATTCGAGTCCACTTTTGAAATGCATCATGTTTATAAAGTACCTGTAGTCAAAAACTTCGTCCAAATTCTCCTGTTCTGAGTGTATTTACAAGTGGATAGCAGCAAAAATGTAAGCTTGACACCCCTAAAATATAACACAGTGAAATATAGTTAAACATATGACTATAACCAACTGATTAAGACAGTTTAAGTAAACAAACAGTTAATGTACTGATAATGCAACTTTTACATTTTGCTACTCAAAGCGATCTTTGTATATCAAGTTAGAAAGGTTCTATATTTTATGCCTTTCATAAATCTCCCTCCATTTTTAACTATAAAATGAGTTATGTCCCACAATCTTTATGCTCACATTTATAGGAATACCATGTCAGCTGCAGGCAATATAGATACCGTTTTATAAAACAGTATGTTTAAAATGAAAGCAAGTTGGTTACTTGAATGTGTCAGCTCGTAGGACACACATATAGCTGGTTACAGACCACAGAGCCACAAATGCACCTCTGATTTAGCATTCCCAGTTGAATAAAAATGCAATAAATGGCATCAGGAGGGATCAACCACCCAACCCAGAGGTCAAATAGCAAAGGACAAATCTGTGTTTTGAAATTTAGCAGTTTATCCATCAACTGCAAGAGATTAATTCAATTTCTGCAATGAAATCACTCCATGTCAGGGAATTAGAGATTTAAAAATTCATACTCAGGGGATTTAGGTTAATCCATCTGAAACTACATTTCCTCATCAGAAACAAAAGATTTGCAGAGCTCACATTTTCCCCCATGTGAATGACTGGGATTTAAATTTCTGAGGGGTCACCAATAGTATACAAGGAGGAGACCAAGTTTCAGACACATAGCATCACAAATCAAAAAGCAGGTGGTGCCCTGCTTGGTTTGGCTCAGTGGTTAGAGGGTAAGCCCACACATTAAAAGGTCGCCAGTTCAGTTCCCAGTCAAGGGCAAGTATCTTGGTTGCTGGCGGGGTGGGTGTGGGAGGCAAACGATCGATGTGTCTCTCTCACATTAATGTTTCTCTCTTTCTGCCCCCCGCTTCCCTCCCTTCCACTCTGAAAATCAATTGAAAAAATATCCTCAGGTGAGAAATAAATAAATAAATAAATAAATAAAAATAAATTGGCAAGCGTGGCGAATGCAGTTTCAAAAGTAAGGCTTCCATATGTGCAGGATCCTCACCGGGAGAATCTCAGTGAGGTGATGGGGACCATGGAATGAAGCAGAATGTCAATGAAATTTTTTTTATCTCCAATGGTAATTGAATGACCTTTTTATATTTTTTCTGATCCCGAATTCCATAAGATGATTGCAGTTTAGTGTCAAAACACCAACGTGCCCATCTAACATCCTGCATATCTCAAGAAGCATTTGGTTAATTGATAATATGTTCAGGACCCATAGAAAGTACCCTAGAATGATATCTATCCAGGATTTTCTTCTTCTCCTCGTTCTCACACAGCCAGGCCACACATTACTCCTTTTTATTCACACAGCCTCCCATCTAGAATGAAACCTCCCCGGTCCCGGGATCCTTTACAACTTCCACAACATAGATACTTTCTAATACCTCAAGTTCCAGGAGCTTCACCTTCCTGCAGGCAGGGTCTCTCCTGGAGAGCAGGAAGCCGGGGCAGGGAGATGTGAGTTCCGTGAACTCCTGGTCTAAGCCCCACGTGGCAGCTCGGGGCTGCCTCTTCCAGCCAGGGTGGTAGTACGAGAGAGGGGCCACTTCTAATTGCTTTTAGTGCTTTCACACAGTAGCCAGGTTTACCCCCATCTTTACTTTTCAAAAGATGAACTGCGTTAAGACAACTGAACACCACCTTACCCCTTGGGCCCCCTTGATGAAAGCTGCACAAATGCACTGGCCGTCTCCTGTATGGCTCCCTCAGAGGCTACTGAAGTGATGCTACAGGGCTGGTAGGAAGTTGATTCAGTGGATGGAGTTTCCAGTCTGGATTAAGGAGCCCTTGGCTCTCCATAAACTGATAGGAAGCAGGACACTAGACAAAAGCTTTCTAAGGAAAGGAAAGGTTGACTAACCATAAATCGGGAGTCTACTGTTTGAACTTAAACTTTCATATCAATATATGTGTGTGTGCATGTGTTTATACAAATAACACACACACACCCATACCCATATACACATATATATCCTATATAATAAAAGGCTAATATGCAAATCGACTGATCACTATGATGCGCACTGACCACCAGGGGGCAGACACTCAACGCAGGAGCTGCGCTCTGGTGGTCAGTGCGCTTCCACAGGGGGAGCACTGCTCAGCCAGAAGCTGAGCTCAAGGCTGGCGAGTGCAGTGGCAGTGGCGGGAGCCTCTACCGCCTCCACAGTAGCACTAAGGATGTCCGACTGCCGGCTTAGGACCACTCCCCACCTAAGCTGTCAGTTGGACATCCCCCAAGGGCTCCTGGAATGCGAGAGGGTGCAGGCTGGTTCAAGGACACGCCCCCCCCCGAGTGCACGAATTTCATGCACTGGCCCTCTAGTGTGTGTGTGTGTGTATGTATATATACACACATAAAAGCAGTCATTTAAAAATGGACAAAAAGAGGAAAGAATAAGAAGAATACAGAAAATCCTGGCCACTAAAAATATGTCAGTATTGGGCAAATACCAATATCAAGTTAATCATATAGAATACTTTTCCCCCGCTTTGGCTTAAAGAGAATTTTTTTTTTCCTCGTAGTCTGAAAGCTAGCAATCCAAGATCAAGTCCACACCTCCTTCTGAGGCCCCTCTCTTTGGCTTGTAGATAGCTGCCTCCTTACTATGTCCTCACATGGTCTTTCCTCTGTCCATGTATAGTGTGTGCCCTAATCATTTTTTTTTTAAGGATAAATGTTTATTTTTGTGAAATAACGTATCTGAAATCTAATTATTCTTGAAAATGAAGACTGAAAAATGGGAAAAGTTAACAAAGTTAGTGACACTGTCACTACGGTTGAGGCCGCATGCAGAAAACACAATCCACTCACTGTTCATATTTATGGAGTGCCAGGTGAGGAAGGGATGTGAAAGTTTGGGAAAAGTCAGACTCAGGGGTCTGAGGCAGCATCACAGAAATGTCACATTTGCACTGGGTCTTGAAAAAGAAAAAAATATTTTTTCTGATCCTAAAACTAATACAGGTTCACTGTAGAGTCTTTAGAACAGACATTGTAAAAGAATCCCACCATCCCAAAATAGCCACTGCTGGATTTTCATGTCTTTCCTCTTTTCTTTCTTCTCTTTCTCCCTCTCTAGGTTCCCTCCTCCTCTCTCTATTTTATTTATAATTAGGATTTTAGACTTTTTTAAACCTATTTTTATGTAGCTTTATATTGTAAGCATTTTGAAGAAGTGCTTTTAAAAAACATACCAGTTCCTTATTAATAAATAATACAGGTTTTTGTATAAAAATTGTAAAAAACAAGTTTGCAAATAAAGAAGGAAACAAGTAAAAAGAAAAAAGTCACCTGTTATCTCAGCAAGCAGAGACGATCAGTGTATATATATTGGAGTATGACCTTCCAGGGTTTTTGTATGCACATAGAGATAGCGCCTGGTACACAGTAGGCACTCAGTAAATACCTGTCAAATGAAAAGAATGAATACAAATGAAAAAATATGTATACATTTCTAAAAATGGAAATCATACCATACAGTTTAAAAACATATTTTTCACTTAACAAGATATGGTCTCCTACACTGAGTTATGTCAGTAAACACAGGTCTACACAATTACTTCTAATGATTGTTTAGCCGCTTGACTATACCATAAATTGGTGGCCAACATGTTACTACTGGACAATTACACTGCTTGGTGGACAGAAGATTGACAGGCAGAGCTGAGGCGTGAGCTGAGACTTCTCAGTGAAGGAGAAGATAATCAATAGCACGGAGGCATGGGGTACAGGTGGAGTTCAAGAAACAAAAAATTATAGTGTCACTGAAAGATCAAAGCAATTATCAGACTATAAAACTAATTAAAAAGCTGAATGGGGTCATCATGTGAAGATCTTGATGTTAACACAACCATAATTACTCTCTCGACATTTATATTAGATAACAAATTACAATTTACTCAGCACAGACATTTCTGATCCTTCACTACATTATTATGTTGGTATGCTTATTGGCACATGTTATTAATACGATCAATGTAAAATATATAAACTTATTCTCTGCTCTTCATGGTGTTAGGTAGCAAAGGAGAGGATATACAAACTTGTCTGGCTTTACATGGCTTACAGCCTATTTAAACAAGCAACACCATCCCACATAAAGTGATAATATACCATAAAACACTTGCATGATAGAACCAAACTATATGGCAGAACAAAGAATAAGTCCAGAAGGATTTCAGAGACAGACATACATACATATGTACATACAGGAAGGAACAAAGGAAGGAGGGGTGGGAGGAAGGAGGGAGGCAGGAAAGGAAGGAAAGTAAATGGGACCTTGAGGAATCAGGTAAGGTTTTACAGTGTTAAGACCTGCACAATGTCTAAAACTAGATAGGATTTAGACTGGGGGATAGGAAAGGCATTTCTTGTACAGTACTGGGAACAGCATAGGCAAAGACACAGAGACCAAATGTGCACAGAACAGCCTTGTGAGCCCATTCAGATGAGCCCAGTTGGAGTAAGGAGAGCAAGATACTGTACATGTTTCTTGAGGAATAGGAGATTTACGGGAGCTGATGTAAAGATTCTACAGGGAAAACCAAACCAAGGAATGTAGTGTAACTTAAACATTGTTCAAAATTACTTTTGGGGATAAATAAGCTGAAATACAGTTTCAATTGCTAATATACTTTGTAGTGGATTGGTCCTCTCAAATATTTGCTCCCACTTCATTGTAGTCCAGTTCTACAGAGGATGGAGAATTGAAAACTATATTTTCCATGTCCCTTTGCAGCTTGGGTTCTAGATCTGATTTAGATTCCACCAATCAGAGGGCAAGGTGCTGGGGGCAAGGCATCCCTTTGGCTGGTCCAGTTCTATCAGATGAAGCAGACAGCACTGGAGCCAACAATTTGTGTCTATGGGTTCCTGATAATCAGATTGGCTCAAGTGATGTGTTCCTGGAACATGCAGTGGAGACAAGGAGGAACCAGCTTCCTGGTTTCCTGGTTTCCCAGCTTCCTGATGGAGGCACAGGTAGAAGTTTCCTTAGCAGGTCAGTTGAATGGTGGTATTCTGGTCATTATTCCGAGAGGCCTGGCCTAGACCTGCTGTGTCATTTCTTCTAACAATTTTATAGGCACTTAATTCCCTGTGTTAAATCCCTTTTGTTTAACACACACAGGAAGATGCCTGTTATACTAAACCCTGACTAATATTCATAATTTTATAATTTCTTCCCTTTTACATTTTTTATTATGGGAACTTTTAAACATATGTAAATGTGAACAGAATAGAATAATGAACCCCCAGGTACCAACTTCAACTATTATCAATTCAAGCCAGTCTGGCTGAAGTTTTACCCCCACTATCACATAGACTTATTTTAAAGCAGATTCCAGATATCCTATCTCTGTAAAAATTTAAGCACATATTTCTAAAAGGGAAAAACTATTTTTTCAAACAATATTGCCACATCACTATCAAAAATTTAAAAAATGACAAGAATTCTTTAATATCACTAAGTATCCAGTCACATTCACTTAGTTTTTAAATTATTATGAACCACTGTTTGTTTGTTTTTTATCCTGAAGAACCAATAAAATCACACCTCTTCGTGCCCAACTCCTGAGAAGCAATCCTGACAACCAGGGCAGTGGTTCTAAGGCCCATGGGGGTCCTGTTCTTCCTGCCATCTCTCCCAATAACTCACTGAGCCTCCTTACCCACGTGGGGTCTTTGAATCAACAGGCTCTTAGATGGTAATGGTAAGGATCTAAGAGCTGCTTTTCTGTATTTTGGAAATTCAAACAGGCTAAACAGGTTAACTAAAATGTCAGGTATGCTTGCTTTTGGCTAGATTGTATTAATGTGATGTGATAATCCTAGATTCTAACTGGCAATTTTATATATTTTCAAGTAATAAAAATGGAAAATGAATTAATACATTAACGATGTAGTCAAGACTCATAAAACAGTATAGTTAAGACCTGGATATTGCACTACATAGCAATTATACTTCAATTAAAATAAAAGCTTAAAGTGGCCACTCAAAATCTTTGAAAACCTGAGGCCCTTGGGAGGTGGGGGAATAATAAAAATGGCCTTTGGTGGTGAACAGGCTGGGAGCCAGGCAGCAATCTAAGAAGAAAAGGTGTTTTCTCTATCCTCACTCAAACCTCACAACGTAACCAGCACTAGTGATCTCAGGTGTGCTAGGAGCCTGTATCGCCATTTCATCTCTGCTGGCTTCCCCGACTTGTCAGTCACTCTCAGCTCTGTATCTGGAAAGTATCCGTGTCTAGAACTATGAACTACCACCTGCCCCTCCTCTCTTTACTGCCAACAGGCTGAACAACTTGCTCCTGGCCTCATCATTCCCCCGAAACCGCGCCCGACTGGCAAACTCTGGCTCCGCCATTTAGGAGCTGAGTGACCCCGGGCAAGTAGGTTAATGCCTCTTCGCCTCAGTTTCCTCTTCTGTAAAATTGAGATAAAGTAAGACCCACCTCGTACAGTCGTTATAATGATTCCACGATTGGGTCCATGTGCAGCACTTACAGCAGTGCCCGGCCTGGTTCTTTTTTTTTTTTTTTTTTTTTCAGAGAGGAAGGGAGAGGGAGAGAGAGATAGAAACATCAATGATGAGAGAGAATCATTGATTGGCTGCCTCCTGCACATCCCCTACTGGGGATCGAGCCCACAACCCAGGCATGTGCCCTTGGCCGGAATCGAACCTGGTACCCTTCAGTCCGTAGGCCGACGCTCTATCCACTGAGCCAAACCAGCCAGGGCCTGGCCTGGTTCTTGTAAGCTATGGTGACTATGGTGGCTACTCTTGCTACTACTTCCTAATCAAGACAAGAGGCCTTTTTTTCTCAGTCCACATGCTCTTCACTCCTTCCGGAGCATGGAGCACTGTTCACTGACCTCCACCAAGTTGCTCCTCACGGCCTCCTTAAGTGCTGCTTCTTGGCTTCCTTTGCCAGCTCCCTTCTTCCCCGCCTCCCTCCTGCCCCTCAGTGCAGGGGTGGCTCTCGCCCTCCAGGCTTTCCTCCAAAGTCTTTCCTTTTTACAGTTTCAAGCCTGCAGTGTCATGTTCATCTCACAGGGCATCTTTTTTTCCCCAGGCATTTTCATTTTGTAAAACTAGAATTCCTTTGGGTTATGAAATAGGATCTCCCTCATAAATACTACTTGATAATAAGCACATCACTTAACGTGCCACATGTTTCTTCATCTGTAAAATGAGAAGGGTGGAGGGAGATGAACTTTCAGGTTCCTTCCTGCTCAGAAAAATTTCCACAAACTCTATCTAGACTACAGCTGCCCTCTGGACTTCTCCATGTGGATGCCTGCCATTCCCTCGAACTCCACATGCCTAACTGAATGCGTCACCTGACCTCACACATCACCTTTTCCGTTTCTGTTAAAGATAATGTTCATTCTCCTCATCCCTTAGGCCTGGAATCCAGCTGGATATCACTTCATTGCTACCTCATATCTAATCAGTCACTAAGTCTTATCAACATTCTTTCACAGTGCCCCTTCCCTTCCTCTCATTCTTTTCAACGCCACAATCCTGACTTTGCCCGTTGCTTTCCTCCATGCTACGTACTGATCCCTCCCCTCTCCCATCTACAGGCACAGATTCTTCCTGAAAATATGTCTTATACATTCCTCTCCCCCTACCCCACCAGTCATAATTGCTCCTAACGTCTGCAGGATAAAGTCTAATCTCTGGAACCTCAAATTCAAAGCCTCAATTGCTCATAAAGTTCTCTTTAATTTTTCTCTTCTATGACTTTCTTTCTGAACCTTCCAGTCCTGCAATGTTACCCAGTTTTCTGCTTTGTTCACATCAATCCCTTGGCCCTGAACTAATTCCCTCCCACTCCTTCCCACCAAGCCCATGCCTACATTTTTTCAAAGCCTAGCTTGCTTGCTTGCATGCTTTTTTATTTTTCAATTTCAAACCAAATTTCTCTGTGATGTCTTTCTCCAATGACCAACCCGTGGCTGAGTGTTTACCTGTGATGAAGTGTTACATTAAAGCCTTCTATTAAATGCCCCCCATCCTTTGGGAGGCATTTGGCAATGTCTGGAGACATTTTGATCCTTACAAGTGAAGGGGTGCCGCCAGCTTCTCGTGGAAAGAGATCAGGGATGCTGCTAAACATACAATGCTCAGGACAACCAGCCCCAACAAAGAGTTATCTGGCCCCCAAACTCAGTAGTGCTGAGGATGAGAAGCTCTGCGTTAAAGGAAACTGTTTGGGGCAGGGAAATGAGCTGCTCACTTCCTTAGACAGATTGTCCCTGAATCCTATCTTGTTCACCGTATCCTGACACCTGCTCCTACAGCTCCACAATTCCTCTTCTGTTCAGGTGCCCATGTGATGCTTTAAAGGTATGTTGTCAATATACCCAGTCTATGATGCCTGGGAATTAACCTACCCCTAT